AACAGGTTATTAGAATCAAAAGTAGCACAAAATCTCGAAAATTGACCGAGTGCTATGAAAAAACGATTTTTTTTTTTGCCTGCGTGTCTCCCTTAAATCAGGACCTCACTGACTTCCGAATGATAGGTGCACTCCTTTGGGGCGACCATCCTCGTCCAAGTTGCGTAAATTTCCGCTCTCAGGGAAATGTGCTGATAGACAACCAAGGAGCACGTTGTAGAACGGAAACACTTGGACAAGGTTCTTATTGCCTTCTATGTGTGATGATTGGGTCTTGGTTTCAGTGGGCTACGGAAGAGAAGCAGCCTGTCTTGTTATCATGGACCTTGTCCTCTATCGGTGCTAAAGGTGGATTCTGCTTACAAAAATGGTAAGCAACAGATGGGAATGTTTCTAGCTGCAATACCTGAACGTCACAGGAGCTAAGGGCATGAAAGGGTTGGACATGAACAAAACATCTGCTACCTGTGCGAGAGATGTACTTTGGTGTGGAATGGTGCATTTTCAATCTGATACCTTTAATCAAAATTGTAAATCAAGGACCGACCACTCACCAGACGAGGAATTCTTTCAACTTGTAAGCTCCATCTTGATCCTTTAGGAGTCTTGAGTCCTGTGGTATTGTCTGCAAGAAAATCTTAAGGGATCTGTGCAGGAGAGAGCTCAGTTGGGATGACATTTATACCTGAGTCAGTTGCTAAAGGGAGGTGGATAAGTTGCTTCAGGAACTCTGCCTGTTGGAAGACTTCCACATTCATGAGATGCTTGAAGCCATTGGACTTTGGAGTGAGAGTTAGAACATAGCACAGCCAGCACCATTTCAGTGACGCAAAGGTGAGGATGGCTATGGCCTTGTGAGTGGGACTTATCTGCTGGCTCCCATAATGAAAACCTCACATGTACATTAGCGCTTTGTAATGGGAAGGCTAGGAGTAGCCCCATTGAAGGTCTGTTACCATTCCTCGCATGGAACTCATCGCTGGCAAAACAATGGCAAGTCGCTTGGCATGTCTTGTGGAGACAAGAGTTGGCACATAGATTCTTCCAAGATTCTGTGTTTTTGGACAGACAGTGCATCCAGTTGCTAAAGTATATCAAGAATGAAACTTCCAGATTCAGGAATCTTTGGTTTCAACAGAGTCTCAGACAATTCGCAACTGGTTCAAAAACCCCATTCAATGGGAGATTTGTAGACAGTGCGCAACAACCCAGCTGATGGTGGCCCTCAAGAGGGTGCTAAGTGGACGCATTTCTCAAGAACGCAACATGGGTTGGTCAGGTCCACGTTTTCTCCTTCAACCAGAGAGTATGTGGCCAATCAATCCTGAAAAATGGTCCACCAAGTTTCATCAGGTGACCCTGGAGGTCAAGGAAAGCTGTTGCATGTGAGATGCAGTACAGGCAGTGAAAGGGTTGATGCTGTGACTTGCGATGATCCATTATTTCTCTTCGCTGGACTGTTCTGGAGGAAGTCCATTGCTTGGATCTGAGGTTTAAGGAGGATGGCTCTTGTCTTGGCCAGAAGAAGGAAACAATTAAACATCGGCTCTTGCACAATACTGCTCTAGATGTTGAACAACAAATGAAAGATATTGGAGAAAGCATATGAGCATTTTCAAGAAGGAGGACAGTTCCAGTTGGTTGTCAGTAGCGGAGCGTGGAGAAGCTTGAATTTGGAAATCATCAAGTTCTGTCAAAGGAAACGGTTTTCGGAGAACTTTCCCGACTGCAAAGGGCAAAAGCGTTCTGGGTTCTAGCCACATTGTATAGACTATGCCCACTAGTGGAAGATGATGTCCTAAGAGTTGGTTGGTCAGACTGGAGTAGCGTCATCTATGCCCGCAGAGGGCTAAAACATCCCGTCATACAGCCAATGATTTGCCCCTATCTCAGAAGTTCTCCTAAGACATATTCATCAAGAACGTTGGGACATGGTGGGACGTAACATTTGTATCTGAAGCTTGAGAGAGAAATACTGGATCACTGGGCGCTAGTACAGCATACGGAGAGTTCCTATCTAAGTGTGTCACTTGTCGGAACGAGATGCTCAGCCAATGTCGCCAACAAATGGCAGGATTTACGCCTTCTGAAAGAGTACTCGGGACGAACCACCATTTACTCATGTTGGGGAGTGGATTTTTTTGGTCGTTTCAATTGAGAGTTAGAAGAAGCCTAGTGAAGGAGCGTACGGGTGTCATTTTTCCTGCATGCATACGGCATCCTACATTGAGTGGCACCTTCACTGGACACGGATTTTTTCATTAATGCGACTCAGAGCTTTGCACTAGCAAGCACGGGGTCGCAAGTTCTGGAACTGGTCTCTGATTATGGGACAAACTTCATTGTGGAGGCAGAGCGTGAGGCTGAGAACAGCCATTGAACAATGGAATCAGTCAAAGGATCAATGGTGTGCTTCTTCAGAAAGGGAATCAGAATGGACTTTATAACCCCCCTACTGGCTCTCACCATGGAGTGCTTGGAAAAGGAGGTAACAGGTCAGTGCGAAAAGTCCTCAACTCCACTTTGAATGTGGGTCAAAAACCCTGGGACGAAGAGGGCCTTCACCACCGTTCTTGTGTGAGCAGAAGCTATCATCAATAGCCGGGCCAAGTTACTAAGGCATATTACGGATCCTACGACCTTGGAGGCATGACACCAAATCACCTGTTGCAGCTTAAAAACCGTTACCTTCTTTTGCCACCAGGAAATTTTCAAAAGGCGGGACATGTATGCCGCAGCGGCTGGAAGCACGGTTCAGTACATGTTCGGGAACTTGTTCTGGAAAAGGTGGGGTCAAGAATACTTGCCCCACTGCAGGAACGTCAGAGATGGTCAGGAGCTGAAGCGGCAAACCTCATCCCCCAGGTGATATAGTTCTCATAGGTAGACAACCACAGGCACTGTAATTCCTGGGGTCATGGGAAAAGTTCTGCAAACCTTGCCAGACAAAAGAGGATTTGTGCGTGCAGTACGCATTAAAACAAAGACAGCTGCTTCAATCGGCCAATATGCTTAATGATCTTCTATTACAAAGGCTGAACATGGAGAAAGAGTTGCTGATGTACCTCTGTGACATCTTGTTACCACAATATGTGGGACTCTTTTTGGATCTGAAAGAACACAAGGATTTATTTTGACTGTAAGGCCTAGGTGGTGGTACCTTTTGGCCTAACTGACTTCATGACTCGGTATACAGAAAAAGAAGGAAGGTAAAACTACAGATGCCATGAACTGTAACTGCATGGATTGACTTACCAGAGCGTATAATTGTCCACATGTCTTCCCTTTTGAATAATGTTTAGTAATTATTATGTATACTAACCTAATAATTAGAGGCTGTGGGTGTAGGAGCCATGGAAACGTGTTTAGTAATCCTTTATGTTTTAATATAAGGATATTTGTTTGATCACTATCGATTGGTTGGCCTTGCGGTTCAACATGGTTATGGGCCCACTCATGTATTATCTTTGTTCACCTGCGTGAGGTGTGTGTGTGGAGAAGAGGGGTGACCACAGGGGGTTTTTTGTTTGACCGCGAGTTTACGGATTGCTTGTATTATTATAACAACATGTTATATTGTCTGATGACCGAGTTTTTTCATTAAACTTTACAATACGTATGAAACCAGAGCTTTTGATCTCAGCAAGGTACTTTTTTAGCGTGTCATAACAATATCAAACAGGCCC